GCTGCTGGTCATGATATGGTTTGGTTATCTGGTGAGAGGGAAACATGAAGATGAAACCAGGAGATGTCCTTACTGGATCATCAGAGCTGAACAGGTGATGGAGAAACAGGTTTACCTTTTAGGTGACATGAATGAGTTGAAGGGAAGTTATGAACTGTTTCTGAGAGACAAATAACACCAGGATCCTTTTCTAGGTAGCTGACAGCTGGTAACTGTGCAGGGGCGGGTCTAGCAAAGTGTTGCCAGGGGGGCAGGTAGGGCATTAACAGGGAAGGAAATACTTTTCTTTCTTATTCTCATTTAAAATGTCTCGCTTTTAATAAATAATTATCTGAATCTTACAACCAAAGTTTTTATCTGATGTAAAATGTATAGAAATCATACATATACCAACAAGACTGTACATCACTGTCACAACAGCGTTTTCATTCAAAGGCTTTATGGCTTTTCCTAGTCCAGCCTGTGTCCTGCACCCCGCAATGTGTGTGTGTGGTGGTTGTGGTGGTGTGTGTTGTGTGGGTTGGTGCTGCGGCGGGTGTGTTTGATCGTGGGTGTTGGCTCCCCCCCGTTTGTTTGTGTGTGTGTGTGTGTTGTGGTCGCCCCTGGTGTGTTTGTTTGTGCTGATATGTTGGTGTGTTGGTTGTTTGTGTCGTGTGTTGTGATTTTTTGTGTTGTGTGTGTGTGTTTCGTGTGTGTTTGTGTGTGTTGGTTCGCCGCTCGTGTGTTTGACATCACAATCGTGTGTGTGTGTGTGTGTGTGTGTGTGTGTGTGTGTGTGTGTGTGTGTGTGTGTGTGTGTGTACTGTGCATGGTTTGCCAACAGCTTTATGTTAATGTACAATCCTTAATATGTTCTGTCTGCGTGTGTGTGTGTTTTCCGGGGTGCGTGTGTGTGTGTGTGTGTGTGTGTGTGTGTGTGTGTGTGTGTGTCTGCGTGTGTGTGTGTTTGTGTGTGTTTGTGTGTGTGTGTGTCAGGGGTGATTTGATTCATCCCCCTGTGTCAGATTTATTTGGGACAGATACTGAGGGGACTCTGCGCTCACTGCCCTCTGCTGGTGACACCACTGCACTGCACTCAGGTCAGTCTCCACCTGCTGTGTTTGCGCCTCCCATAAACAGACGGTGTCACTGGGAGTCAGGAAGCAGCCTGAGTGCTGCTGATTAAACAGGAGGAAGAATCTGCAGCTGTTTGACTCTGAGACAAGAAGCTCTAAACTTCCCGTCTCTAAAAGGCTGATCACAGCGAGCTCACACTGATTTGGATATTTACCTCTTTCTTTCTTTCTTTCTTTCTTTCTTTCTTTCTTTCTTTCTTTCTTTCTTTCTTTCTTTCTTTCTATTTACATGTTGTCACAAATATATCTTTCACATCATCAAATAAAATACAACATGTGTTTTTTAAGTAATAATTTCACTGAATGACTCCAATGTGAACTCATGTTTTGAAAGCTGAGCTCAGTTTTCACGTCCACACTCAGACGTGACTCCTGCCAGCGAGGCTGGGTCCATCCTCAGCTCGGTTTTTATTAAATAAAACCTTAACTCATTAATTACATTTTACTTTTCCTTCTTTTTTTGTTTGAGACAAAGTCAACTTTAATGTCAACACGTGAACAGTGATATCCTCACTTTCCACACGCAGCACAGCTGATGAGAAGAAGCTGACAGCGTGAACGTGATAACGCTCACGCCGTCCTGCTCAGCATGGAAACAGCCACAGTCCTCTCAGCTGTGATTTTTAAATCACACAACGATGACCTCACACTCTGACTAACAATCCCAGTTTGTTCTTGGGAGGAAGATGGCTTTGTGGTCAGGAAGGGCGCACGGTGTAAAAGCTGCCAAATCAAACGCGTGGAGCAGCTTTTTTTTACTTTATTTACAAACAACAGTATAACATACAAGGCACCATCATTAATCTGAATATGTAATATCCTCGGTTGAGCGTTACAGCAAGAAAGGAAAACAAACAAACAAAACAAAAAAACCCCAAAAAATAAAAAAATAACACAATGAACACAAAGCCAAAGACCAGTCATTGAAGGATTTGAACCAAAGGCAAAAAATAGCATGAACGAAAAAGGGCAGTCATGATTATAAAATAGGGAGGTTTCTTTTTTAACATAGATTAAAGTCGTTAAATAAAACAACAGGTTTATGAGCTGTCTTGTTATTCAGCGATTTAGCCCAGAGTTTAAACATGTTTATACATGGTTTAGCTTCAAAGTATCTGCAGTTGTGAATAAAAATTTTCCCATGAACAAAATCGTCCTAATCAACAGGTCAAAATCTGCATTCTCAGCAAGTCACCGTCAAATATGGTAACTGGATTCTCCTGAGCTGTAGCCAGCTCCACATGTCAGTCCAGGAGTGCACTGATTCACAGTAGAGAAGTGATCCAGACCTTCAATATCATCTTCACAAAATGTGCAGGCGTTCACATCTAAGTGAAGTTTCCGTCTTAAGAATTCATTGGTTGGATAAACCTCAGTAATGACTTTAAAGTGAACCTCTTTTACTTTAGGGGAAAGAGGAAGTGAGATATACTTTTTTCTTATCGCCTTAACCTCCACGGTCTCAAATTCTTTAAGGATATAATTTCTTTTAACCGGATTAGGGCAAATTTCATTTATCAAAATATTCCTGATCACTTTGTTTGTTTGTCACCAAATTCAACGCCAGCTATGCAGAGCTGCCTCAGTCCAGGAGAAATTTTATCATTGATCTCAAAGAGACTGGGATGGCTTTCATCAGGGATTTATATCTCTTAGCAGTACATCAAATTTCTCACAAAACGTCTCATGTTTTAATAAGACCTCATTCTCACTCATAAAATGAGCTACAGCCCAAATCCCTTTAGATCGCCATTCATCCACGTACACAGATTTCCTACACAAACGCATATACCTGTTGTTCCATATAGGGGTACTGTGAGGAGTAAAGTTGTGTTTATAGATTCATTTTCAGTAGAGAAGCACCTGCTGATATCAGGGAGCAGCTGACTGAAGCCTTTAAAGCCACAGAAACGTCAGGAAATGCAGCTCCAAGTCCCAGCTTTGACAAACAGCACAGCGATGTGGACCAGCAGGAACCAGAACCAGATTAAAACCAGTTTGTATGAGTTCCAGATGTGATCACGCCTGTTAATAACACAGAAGTGTTGGAGGCGGGGCCTGAATCAATGTCTGCTTCCTGCACCTGTCACTTGTTTTTTCCTTTAACAGCAACACTGCTTTTTTACCATCTCTTCATTCATGTTCACGTACTTAAAGCAAAGTATCTGATCCTGGTGTCCATCATCCGTCTGCCCCTCAGAGTTGTATCTGAATTCTGCCTGTTTCAGACCAGACACCATCTTTGTAGTGTTCGACTTCAACAGTCATGTAGATCAGGAGCTCCAGGCCTCAACAGCCAGTGTCTTCCTCTGTTTCTGATCTGAGCGTGTGCAGGATCGCAACATTTATTTATTTCCACCTTCCAGCAGAAAGGAAAACTCATCCATCCGTGCGGTGTGCCTGTTCGGCTGCATCGTGGCAGCAGACATGATGACGACCTGCTGAAGTTTAAACTGAGCAGGATGGAGAAGAACGGTGATTTAAATAACTTGAAGGAGTCTTTCAGAAACTGCTGACCTGCTGGTTATAAGCCTATTCCAGCTGTGAGAGGCAGGCTGAACCTGGACAGGTCGCCAGTTTGTCGCAGGGCTGATCATGACTTCTCTGTACTACAGTGGCCTCCATAGTCACCAGATTTCAATCCAGCAGAGCCCCTCTGGGATGTGCTGGAACGGGAGAGTCATGAATACAGCCGACATGTGTGCAGCAACTGTGACGGCATCACGACTAAAGTGTTTGCAGGAACTTCTTAAATTGGTGCCATGAACAGGAGGAAAAGAAGGTCAAACTGGGTGCTGGCAAATTGTACCTAATAATGCGATTACAGCGTGTCACCAAGAGGTGGCGCTTTCTTCACTAAACTTTGACTTGTACAGTGTGTTGACAGCATTTCATGCAGAAATATTTTCTTCTGTATTGAAAATGTAAAATAAATGGATGAACATT